TTTATATATATATATATATGTATATATATACATCTTTTCCATTTAAGAAATAAAGGAGTCTTTGCAAAGTGCCAAAGCATTTTCCAAAGAAATGTTTCGCAGGTCTCTGTGCTAATGCCACCCAGTAAAACCAATGCAGCACTGAGAACCAGTGGTAGGACATTTGCTATACGTGGTCTTCAGCACGGCACAGGATATACAAGCTCCTAGCTTCATGCTGTCTCCCCTCTGGTTTTGTTCACCACTGCTGGAGAGGCATGAACACACTCGGGAGCTGGGCTGGTTACACTCACTTTGAATCATCTGCTCACAAGCCTGGCTAATGAGCTGGTAAATTGTGGCCAAGGACTGTAAATTCAAGAAAAACTTAACATTCTCTTTGTCTGGCTCAAATCTTTTTAAATTTCCTTTCTTATGATATTTAAATGACAAAATTTACAATCTGTCCTGGTCTCTGCCAAAATGAAATTTAAATATTAAAGGGTCTTCATGGCCGGTATTTGGAATTGTAACGAGCCTTAACATCAAAAGTATGATTTTAAGTTCTGGTAATCACAGAGGCTAAAAAAAAAAGAAAAACCAAAAAGGAAGCTCTTGGTATCTAAGCAGCCTGCATTTTCAGTGCTACTGCCAATGAACTGCACACTTGAAGACCAATATTTAGTAGCCAAAATGAGTTCTAATTGTTGCTGCCCTGTAGTTTTCTATGTCACACTCATCACTTCACAATCTAGAAATAGCAAAGATAGCTCAGCAGCTAAAATATCCCAGATCCCCAAGTGATTAATTCTTCCAGTAAAATGATCTTGTGAGTAATTCTGAGGAACGTTATCTGAGAAAATTATAATCTGATGTCAGTATCTGAAGAGGAAAAAAGAGGCAAAATCATCATATTAGTCATTGGCTATGAGCAATCATCCACCCGAACTGAAATACTAAGCATTTCCAAATGCATCCTTAACTTCTTGTCTGGCTTTGGAGCCAATCTTTTCTCAGGCCCAAGTGACAGAGGAGAAATTGGCTCTGAAGTTCCAGTTCAGTCCTGAAATACTAGCAAAGCCCACAGAGGACTACTGCATCACCTCTAGCATCTGAGGTAGCTGAAGGCCCATGTTTTGCTGCTGGTAGCACCCAGGACATCATGCAAAAGGCTGAAGCTGCACACCTTCAGGGCAGGGTGCAAGGGCTCCGGCTTCCTGGAGATGACTTGAAGGTCATTCAAGGAATAAATTTTTTTGATTGTTTGGTTAGGTGGCAGCTGGGACCTGGCTCTGTTGCACAAGGTAATTTCTTGAAGGTGCTGTGTACAGATGTATAGAAGTTTTACTGTGGGACGATCTGGAGAGTCAGTTTTTGTCAAGCAATCTGCAGGCTGTTCATCCAGATTGCAGATTACTGTTGTGGTGGAGAGATAAACACTAAGGTATCTCCATGCAGAAAGGGAAGGATTAACTCATATAAGTTCGTGGCAGCAGGGGAAGAACGAAAGGTGAACACCATCACACATGCAATTTTTATAAAAACAAATATTAGATAGAGGTTCGAAATGATGTAGCTATGTTTTTTACAGAAATGTAAATTAGTTGACTAAATATTCTGTTTAGTATTGCAAATAATTAGTTCTTAGAAACAATTTATCATAACAGATGAGGTCCCTTGAAACACACAAAGAATGCAGAGACCCAGGAGCTGGTACCATGGTCCACTGGGTGAAGAGACTGCATCTGTCATGTGTGCTAGGGTTTTTTAACTTTTGAAAGGGCTAATCTCCATCTGGCTTTCTGCAAATCCCTGAAGATTTTTTAAAATTTCGTAAGCTTAAATATTTAAGTTTTTCTGACCTTTCTTGGTTAGAAAGGTGAGGCTGAGAAGTCTCTTAGTCAGATTAGTCTGTAAGTGGTGTGCTTTTTCCCTGTGTCCCAGTACTGCACCTCTGATGTGAGTTTATGCGGGCTGAGATGCAAGACACTGACAAATCCTTTTTACTGAGTGTCCCAGTAAGCAAACCACTGTAAATCAACCCTGAAAGTAGCTGTCCTTGCTCTAGTGCCCTCTCTGTACTTACACCTCCTGTGCAACCTTCTTCCCCACCAAGCAATGAGTCAACTTAAGACAGTCCTTAATGCCTATTCCTTTCATCCCAAAGGAGAAGAAAAGGGACCCAAATGTAGGCAGATTCAGGCTGTAGCTTAGTGTTGCCTTTTTGATTTGACTGTATGGCTGTATACAGAGGCCATTTTGCAAAAGATCGTTTTTTTTTTCCCCTGTGCCCCAGGAATACACCAGAAAACACCTAACTGTGATGGGAGGACTCTGGGGCTCTCAAATGATAATTTGCATGAATCCAGTGTTTCTGAAAGCACACACTTTTAATATTAATGTTATTCAGAAGAACAGTAACTGGAGAACAAAAGGGCAAAAAACCCCACAAAAACATGTTTTTGTGCGTTCAGGGCCATGTTCTCCTGTAGGATTTGTTGCCATAAATTTCCAGGCCACAAAACAGACTGTATTTTGCAAGGAAGGCTGCAAGTTACCAAGAAAGTTAATTGGTTTATACTGTTTTAATAAGACCTCCTGGGAAACAGATTTAATAGTGGAGTGCCAGTATCACATAATAAAATATAGTTTATAGAGGATGTTACGACATAAGATGCAGCGTGTCTAACTGGAAAGTATTTGCTGAACTTTCAGGGAACAAGATCTAAATGTATTATGTTGGAAGCCTGGAAATGAGGCTATGTGGCTGCAGTTGTTAAAATGAAAAAAGCTAGCGATTTAGGTGGAAACTGTGTGCCATGAGGGAATCAAGAGTTTTATTGTGGGAAGGTCACACAGAGACCTTCCTTTTAGAGAGGGAAATAAAAGGATCTAATGTATGGTTTGCTACAAGCACTCGTCAAACCAACCTTTCTGCCCTTTTCCCTTCCCAACCACGAGGTTTCCTGCAGGGAAGGTGTAAGGTAAGTAATGTCACAGGGAATTTACAAACCTGAACTTGGACCCCACAGCGTGGGGCCTGTGATCAAGGTGAAACAGCAGAGCTTACCACATTTTTTGCTTGTAGGCTGCGAGGTTGAAATCCTTGGAGTCAGACCAAGTTATTGCCGCGAGTACTTCAGTGTCCCAACAGACAAAAACTTTGCAGATGCCATCAACGATGCTCTTGAGTCTTTGCGGTACGTCACTAGACTTCTGTGGTGCGGGGTTCCCTCTCTCAAGGATGAGTATTTTTCCTATCAGCCTTGCTCTAGGAAAATTTTCAGGTTTGGATCCCAGGTCGGAAGATGGGTGCTGAAACTGCTTTACAGTACTGTCATAGAAACATGACCATAACAGAAATAGGCCCTTACATTAGGATCAGAGGGGAAGATGTGCTCCTCTCTTCATGTGTAGGTTACAATACAGAGAAGACGTCCTGACTTACTATTTTTAATTTGCTGTTTCAAACAACTTCAGGATCAGTCTGTGGGTATCTGTTCACTGACCTGCAAGAGCAGACTTTGAAGTGCTTGGATTTAGAGAGAGGTCCTGGGAATTTGTAAATTCTGAAATTCAGCTCCAGTCACTTGTTTATGAGACCAATGATTTGGCTCCTTCTGCATTTTAGAACATCTCAGGCACAATGATTTTGGAGCGGGCATTCATTTTGTGCCAATACTAGAATAGGATAGGATAGGATAAGACAGACTAGACTAGACTAGACTAGGCTAGACTAGAATAGAAGTGGTTCAGTTGGAAGGGATCTACAATGATCATCTAGCCCAACTGATGGGAATGATGGGAATATATCTCTCAGACAACTCTTGGGGAAAAGTATGCTTCACACCCAGCTTTCCAGTTCCACCATCTCTCATCCAAACATTAACAAGGGACAATTCCACATAGGTTGTAAAATCAGGGAAGACTGCACTGCCACGTGTGGAGGCAATGAGTCACCTTAGCTATAACTAAGCTTCCTCTTTTAAAACTCTGTTGGTTCCACAATTTAGCCAATCCTAGGATACACTTCTGCTTCACTACTTGCGAAGTGCCATAGTGATTTGAATCTGAAAAGTTTTGTATTCTGATGCTGAGTGTTGCTTGTCATTCATTGAAATAAAGGCTCCAAAATTATGAGAACTGCTGGAGATGTTGCTCCCAGTTGCACACTGGGTCCTGCTGCACAGGTGCTCACAAATCTCAGTGTCACTTGCAGCATAGGGCTTAGAGAGAAGCTGTTGCAGAATGTGTGAGACATTTGATCTTGAAATAATTTAGCTCAGATTTTAAGAAAATTATCTGCGTGTGACATGAGGAGGTTATATGTGCCATAGGAGACTTTCTGGACCTTCTGCAACACTTTGAATTCAGTGAGTAAAAAAGGGAGTGGGAAACTGAGTACGGACACCAGCTCTGACTTCTGGTAGAAATCCAGAATTACCATAGGAAGCTTTTTGGTCAGGTATCATTTGGCGATGGGTCGAGATATGCTTGGAGCTTCCTGCATGGTTTCTATGAAGCAAGATGTGTAAGGCTGCTCAGGACAGTTTGCAGCTTTATAATTGCAAGCATGACTAAAAGCAAGGCACAAACTGTTCAAAGCTCCAGCCCTTCAAGCTGCTCTTTTGGGTAGCAGGAGCCCATTGAAAACGTTTCAATAGCTAATTCACCCTGTGAGTCACAAGGCTGCTTGCTGCTTCGGTGGAAAAGAAGAAAAGGGCAGGGACACAACAGTGTCTGTGAAGCAGCTCACAAGAGGTAAAAGCTGGTGATTTCAAGAAAAGAGCAAGTTGCTGCCACCACGATGTCCGCCATAAACACCAGCTACAGCCTGCTGAAGAGCCCAAATCCTACAGATCATCTTGGGGCTGTGGGAAGTCTGGTCTCTGGTGTCCATTTACACCTGAATTTCTGCCTGGTTTCTTTTTCTTTAAACTAAGTGCCCTGTCTGCAGCAAGGCAGGAAAGGGGAAAAAGGAACGATCATCAATAAAATTAAAAATCAATTGTGTGTGTAAATACTGCAGGGACTTGCAGTAAGAAAGGAGGGTAGAGAAAGAATAGATTAAAAATCAAGTAGGTTTTCCTTATCCTTTCTCTCATTCATCCTCTTGGTTAGTCCTTTAAAATTCAGCAAACAATTTTCAGGGCTGCTGTGCCAGCCCATAAAAAGTAAAGCCCCTGAAATGCCTTTATTGTAGGTGTATTCATTTAGCAGGAGTTAGCATCTCTGGGTAGAAGAGTCTTCAGCTTTATTGTCATCTACATCTTTTGCAAGAGCTTCTGACTCTTGAAGCTGTTCAAAGGCTGGCAAATCCAGTGTGTTTACTTTCCACACCTCAGCTAATTGAAAAAGCCCTTTAGGCTGAGACTGGCACTAGCTATATGTGGGAAAACAGCCTGTGGCAAGGGCAGTCTGTTGCCTGGAGCAGTGCCTTGCTCAGTTGCCCCAATGGCGAGTATTAGTAGTTGATGAATTGCACTTACGCTCCCACCATTAGCAAATCTTACAGGGACTTCAGGGTAGAGAGGAAGCCCTTTATTGTGGCATGGTGGCCTAAGAGTTAACTTAAGTTTGGACACCAGAATGTCCTGACCGATCTTAACTTCACCAGGGTCAAAGGGAGTTGTGTCAATGCCCTCTGCAAGGGCAGGAGTACCTAACTTATCAGGGAGCCACTGAGCTCCTCTTGCAACCAAAGGAAACCATCCTTCATGAATATTCTCCAGTCTGTTCCAACAGGTGCTTTGAGACCATTATTTAGACCAAAAATACTCAGAACTAAGTCAAGCACCCATTTTTGGCAAGTAAAACTAAAACCTCCCTTATGTCTTTTCCACCACTATAATTTAAGGGCTGTTATAGTCTGCATACCTTCCTGGAGAGGTATCATGAAGTTTGCATGGTACTTGCAAAGTGTGTTGACAAAATACACAACCCTTTTTGGTATTGCCATCGATGCCGTCCAGCTTTCTTCAGCAAGCTTTCCTTAGCTATTTCTCTTGAAAGTTACTTGTGATGGAAGAAGACAGGACTAACACACAGTTAGAAAGACAGATTACTTCTCCCATGCAAGCCATGATCAGAGATGCTTAGTTTTCTTGTGAAAACAGGAGGAAAATGGAAACAAAGTCAAACTCAATCTTACAAGCTCCAGATTTGCTGTACCAAATCTTGCAAATTCCTGAGCATGCTGCATAACTTGAGCTTGTCCCATTGAAGCCATGTGTAAAGTTGAACATTCATCCTTATAGCACTGAGCCCTCACTGAGAAATCTCACCTAAATAAGAGATCAGCCTAAATAAGACCACTTGTTTTATGCAATAAATCTCTTTCTTAGCTTCTATCTTGATCTAAGTGATCATTTAGTAACAGGTAAGGAGATATAAAGCAGTGTAAGCAGCTAATTAATACAGGCACTGCAGCAGAAGAAAACTGTTTCAATAGGTTCAATAAGTGTGTATGCAATATAGAAATTACAGGGTTAAATTTTAGAAATTAATGTATGCCTAATACAGATGGAAAGTGAAGGGAGGGAAGGGCTGCTTCGTTGGAATGATTTTAAAATCATGAAGAACAAGAACATCGTTCTGCAGGACCAGCAGTGGAGAAATTCCCACCACAATGGAGATCTTCAGCTTCCGACCGGACTGCTCCTCTGACGCCTTCAGCAAACTTACAAATGCAAATGACAGACCCTAATTCATTCAGTCAGTCCCTCACCTCTGTTTTTTTCCTCTTCTGTCTCACTCATTACACCAGACTACGCGGGTATCTTTAATCAGAGACGTCAGACCTGTCAGGACATTACACAAAGTGTTTTTGTAGGGATCTTGATATGGATAAGGGCATGTATTATGGATGGCACACCCTGTCATATATTACGTAAAGTAGAAAAAGACTGGGTTTGAACTTCATGAGTGTAGATTTGCGATTTTATCCACACGACTACTCTCAGGGAGCTTTACAGTGAACTGTAAAGTGGTCATGAAAATGTAATTGAGCACTGATGTATGTGCAATCCCCACTAGCTAGGCTGAGGGCATTCAGTGCAGGAACATATGATCAGCTAAACTTGCGCGGCTCTGAGGTTGCCTTAGTTTCCCTTTGGTTATATTCCTGGATAAAAACCTCATCTGAAATCTCACCCCAATTCATACCACTCGGGAATTTGCAAGGTTGTGGAAGAGCACGTCCTGAGTTAACCTTGGTGTTTTAGAAGACTTGACACAGGAGGAAGCCAGAAGTGCCAAACCTTAATTAAAGCACATTTGACTGGTAATTCCCATAATCCTTTCAATAAGGGCATTCGGCACAGAAAGTAATACTCCTTCTGGGTCTTTGTCATTAAAGGAAAAGCCGCCTTGCTAAGAGGTAGTAGAGGGTTGTCAGGCCAGTCTGTGTTTGCACATGGTAGTTTCTACCTGGCACCTCTGATGGGAGTCTCAAGCAAACCCAGGTGACTTTGGGCATGAATAATGAGCCCAGCTGTGTGACAGGGGGTAGGAAAGCCCAGGGTGGAAGCAGAAAATCCTCCTCTGGGGTTTTATGGCTCTGCGTGCTGGTGAGGACAACCATGCCAGCAGCCAGGAGGGGAAGGTGCCTGGGTGGTCCCCATGTGCAATACCCTCTCACTCCTTCCCCTCCTTCCACCTCCAGCAATGGCAGTGCCGAAATGTCTGCGGTGTACTACGAGCGCATTGACGTGGAAGGCCACCACTACGGCCCTTCGTCCCAGCAGCGGAAGAACGCTTTGAAGGAGGTGGACAAAGCCTTGAGCAACATGATCACACTCATCAAGGTGAGTGGCGTCTGAAAACCCAGCTCCTAGGTGCGTGTGGAAAAGGCTTTTAAAACTGCTCTTTGTGGCACTGCTGAGAGCCTGTTTAATGCCTGTTAATTGGATGTGTTGGCTGTAAACTTTTTTTTCCTGAGAAAGACAGGCTGCTGAGATCATGTGAAAGTCAAGGTACCATTCTCCTGATTTTTATTTTCATAGATGGCGTTATAATCCTCCTAGTGGATTCTTATACTGATAGCCCCAGGAAGCCATAAACCAATATACATGTTGCTCTGTTTATAACTTGTGTTGCTGGCTGGGCTTTATAGTAGGTGAACAAATAAAAAATGCTCACTTCCTAAGGTTTGTAGAATCAGACAATTAACTTTTATAGCGGTTTTATGGCACCATTCAGAACTCTGTACTTTAAACTTTGTTTTAAAAAACATTATCTAAATGATTTTACAGTGAGAAAAGGAGGATATCAAGCTTTTGGGTAAATGTCATTTCTATGAATATTTCTGACAATGATAAATGTATGTTGGAGTTGTTTGGGTGTTTCAGTGAGGAGAGGAATATGTATTTCCAATTTCACTAAATTATAAAAGCTCTAATGCTAAGTGTTTGTGTTTGGGAGGGGAAGAGAAAAACACTCCTGGCACAGATGGTACCATGACAAAGTTGCTCTTCCCCAGCCATTTTGTCCTACAGATGAAGAACAGTTGGATAAAATCCTGTCTAAGACCAACTGGGACAACTGGTTTGTGGGACTGGGACATAGCATCTGGTTATTTAGCAGAGGCGTGGATTTATTTTGGAAAAATCTCTCTTTGTTGCTAACCTCTCAGACTCTTCCAGGGCAGTGAGTGAGGGTGGATGTCCACCATTATGGGTGGTGGCAAAGCACATTGCAGGGCATTTGCGGCCGTGCTCCTTCTGGCCAACTTCCACAAAATCAGTGGAGGTCCAATGGGGATTAAAATTTTCCAGCGGGCACAGACAATGCGAAGCTGTTACCCAATTGTAATGGCTACTCTGCACTTGCTTCACAGAGCAAGGGCCTTCAGCATGACATCAACGTCCTCCTCTTCTCCGATCATGGGATGACAGACATCTCTTGGGCAGACAAAGTGATTGAGCTGAAAAACTATATTAATATGAGTGATACCATACAAATGAAGGACCGAGGTCCTGTTGTGAGCCTCTGGCCAGCTCCAGAGAAGGAGGAAGAGGTAAGTACAGCTTATTTCTATTTATTTAGTTTTGTGTTTCCTTGGGTTTTGTGACAATTGTGTCTCCCATTTGCTCGTAACATCCAAATCCCACTCTCAGAGATGCATGTAAAACTCAGCCTGAGGCTCTTACCGGGAGTCAGACTTGGATCCTGTGACTCTCTGTGATGCTGGTTTCTGAAGGAAAGTCACACCAGGCAAATTAAAAAGCATGGACTTTCACCGTTATTTGGCACAGATGCATGTTTTCGATCTCCACCACTATGTGCTTCTGATAAATAGCTGAAAGACTTTAGCTCAAAATCCATCTTTAGGATTTTATATATATATATATTGTTCAGTTTACTGACACTCTATCTGGGATTTTCAAATGATCTGGTGTAGGTCAGGCACTCATATTCCAGTAAACTCCCATAGAGTTTGAGGAATTAACTTCATTAGACCAGAATTACAAAATACATTTTTTTTTACAATATTCTCCTTTGAAGAACTTTGGTGAATAAGCATATTGAATTGAATCAACCATAAAAGCCCAAGGCTAGAACTGCAGGATTTTGAGGGGTGGATTAAAACAACAGAGAAAAAAATTTGGAAACCACTTGAAAAGAATGAAAATGCAGCATCTGAAACTGATAGACTAGTGCCTTATAGCTTAACCACAAACCAATGCTTGAGAAGTCATTATTGCTCTCCTCAGAATATAGATGAGTGGATGTACAAAATGGACAGTCCATATTTTAGCCAGTTCCAGTATATTGTAGCTTGTGCAATTTTTTTTGAAGATAATATTTGCTAATTTTTACACACAAATGGGCTCTCCAGGAATTGTATAGCTGTGATATTATGAACATTTCAAATTAGTGCCAGGATTGAAAGTTGTGTTAGAGGCATGCGTAAGCAACCCACTGAAGGTTCCTGAAGGGGATCACAGAGTTTGTATATGTGCTTTCCTCAGCCTTAACTCAGAGATCCCTATTTTTGTAGGCCAGATCTTCAAACAAGGGCGGTTATATGTTGCAACTTCACACAGACATGGAGTTCCATCCAACAAAGTTCTTAAGAACATGCTTCTCTCATTAAACAGACTGATATCCCTAAGGAGAATAAAGCACAATGCCTCGTACCACACTTCTGTTTTCTTCCTTCATTTATTTTTTAGGGCCTCTTACTAGACTGCTGCTTTTTAAAGTGAAATAAAGTTGATTTTCTGTTTCCCAGTAGCCATATTCTTCTATTCTTAATTCACTTTAAAGAGCCACGTTTAGGAATTAGATCATATCGTAACATGGTGGTTATCACCTTTAAGAGTTATCCCATTTTGAAGCACCAGAAGCACTGGTAGAACACCAGGACCACTCTCTAGTCCAGGTCATGGTGGGAGGGTCTGTCCGAGTCGCACCATCACACCCTAGTGCTGTCCTTACAGTGACTGCATATCAATGCAAATCTCTTGCACACGTATACACACAAAGGGGACTTAGCTAAAAGGCTGGTGAAGGACCTTTCATCCTTTTCAGAACTGAGCTATTTATTCCTGAAGATTATTTGTATTTAAGTAAAAGAGTCATATACACTCTGGGGACTCCAATAACCACTTTCTTTATGGCATATGAACATCTTCTTCAGGCATTTAAAATATTTTTCTGAATAATTTGGGGGTTAGCCACGTTTGTGTGATTATATTCCAGACAGTATGATTAGTGTTAATAAACCACTTGTAGGGCATTGTGCAGCTTCAAAGCTGCAGGCATTGGCTGATTAATCTCACGGCATCCTTATGAAGCAGATAACTAAGCACTACCGAGCCCTTTGATAGGGATTGCCTGGTTAAGTGTAAGAAACACAGGTGAGGTGACATTAATTGTTCACTCAAGAGCACAAAGAGGGAATGAGTGGCAGAAGCCAAAGGCAATATCCCTTTTCCACATCTGTACCCAGTCCACATGGTGCCTTTGAGCATCTTTCACTGCGTAGCTTACTGTCTGCTGTGACGGTTTGGTTTCTCCTGGTCTGTCTCTGTAGGTTGATATACTCACATGCATACATTTGTGAGTGCGTGTATTATAAATATATGTATAATACATGAATTCATGTGTTCCTGTGTGATCCAAGTTTTCAAAACCTCCTAAACCACATAAGGAGGTTTTGCACAGCCATCACCTTTGGACCAGCAAAGTCCCAGTTTGAATGTGCTGATGATTAGTCATTAAAGGGAATTAGCCATTTTACAAATTCAAGTGTTTCCACATGCCTATAGGTGTGTATATGCTCTTTACAGCCATATGGTATCCTAACATTTGTTTTCTTTGCAGATATATCAAAAATTGAAAGCTGTGGAACACATGCACGTTTATAACAAACAGAATATTCCAGACAGGTTTTTCTACAAAAAAGGAAAATTTGTGTCTCCTCTAACTCTTGTGGCCGAGGAAGGATGGTTCATAGTAGAGGTAAAGTATAGAAGCAAAATACTTAAACATGAATGTGAAATGGTGTAATATATGAAAACGATAAGAAAAACGTACAATTCTATGCTAGGTATTGAGTTAAAGTGTTATATCATTTACTTGGGCTGACTACAAACTAATGTCAAATACTGCTGTGTGCTTAAAAGAGCTTAAAGGCATGGCAGCTATGCTGAAGGTAGACAAGGTTAAATAGTCAAGACGGTTCTTTTTTCTGCATCATCATAAAGCAGGAGGAGGTTTTCTATTTCCCATTCCAGTCCTGTTGCTTTACTCCTCTTTCCCCTGCCCATCTACCTTAATCTCAGGCACAAAAAGAGTGTTTCAGTTTCAAGACCTTACTATCCTCCATTCAGCAGTACTTTGTGGCAGTACTTTCCTTTCTGCCTAGCTTCCCACCCACCAGGCTCTGTCCTAAAAATGCCCCATTTCTCCCAAGCCCTCTAGTCTCAAAAAGGTTGGACTGGGGGGTTATTTCTCAGATACCCATTGCACACATTGAAATCTGGGAGCTTGTTAAGAAGGAAATCAATTAGGCTGGCACATTAAGAGGTTTGGTTTCTTTTAACTTAGTTACTAGAAATTATTGTTGTTGGTTTTGTTGTTATTATTTTGTACTTGTATCACTACTGAGCACCTCCACGTTACAGATACTAACTGCAACTCGCTACAGCTTAGAGTGGTGAGGTGACTTATGTATCTTCTAAGTGGGTAAACTGAGGAGCAGTACTAAGTGATTTGCCTAAAGCCATACATTAAGTCAGTAAGTTGGTGACAGAACCAAGGTGTCCTAGGTATTTTAGTGCAAAGTCATTGGCCATCATTACTTTGCAGATTATTATAATTCAGTTGAGCATCTTCTTTCATGACCCTCAGAGCTACTGCTCACCAGGTGTTGCTCAAGACGGTCCACACCACCACATTTCTCACTAGTCAACCTGACTTTACGATAATAATTTCTACAGCTGAATAAAAATGCACCTCTAAAAAAACCCGAGTGCTTTTGATGGGTGAGCATCACATTTCTGGTTAAAAAAAATACAAAAACGCTGGAGTTAAGGTTCAGACACATAAAGTAGGAATCTGCAACATTTTTGCCAAAATTATTTTAAAAAATCACAACTAAACTCTTTTGTGCAGAAGTTCAACACAGAACATTTTTACATACTCTGTAAAAATAAAAAAAGCACTTCAAAAAAATCATTGAAACTCTGACAAACCTTAATAACAGTGCAGCAAACACTGCTGCTATGGTAATTATTTCTGTCTCTCTGCCCATTCCTTCCCATTGTTTGTGATTTTCAAGAATGTCCTCTCATTAATGCTGTCAGATTTTCCTTCTCCTCGGTACATTTTCATTATCTGTGAATGGGATGTGAAAATGAAAGTTTTCTGTCATATTTTTAAAGCAATAATTGAGCCTTCTATTATACTTCCTGCCCAAACCACTGAAGAGAGGATGTTCAGCTCTTCCCTATCATGCTTACGGGGTTTTTTAACTCTCTGTCAGCTAGTGGATAGCTATAAGCTGTTTGAAAAAGGGGATTTTTTAATATTTTTTTTGAGAGACAAAGGGATGTATCTGGAATATCGGGGGGTTTTCACAGCAAGGAGCATAGGAACAAAAGACTGTCCACATTTCAGTTAAAGCAGGATGAGGAGGGATTTCATTCACCTCTGGCTATATCGAAGCTGGTCTGCTAGTGTTGGCTTGTTCCCTCCGTGTGAGTGGTCCCCATCCTTTGAGCAGAATTTCCTGCTGCTGCTCTCCTATGTGCAACAACGGTGTTAGCCCTCAGGGCTGTGTGCTCACCATGTACCCATCCCAGTGTATTTTCCTAGGTTTTAGGGAACAGTTGCTGTACAGCTTCCAAACATGCACATGCAGGGAAAAGTCCATTGTCAGCCGTCCCAGACACGCCTGCTTCATCTTTGAGGAGCAGTGCTAGCCCAGGCTTAGGCTGAGCATGAAAAATTAATGTCTCCGTTGAGTCCTCTGGCCCATTTGGGCTTGCCAAAGCAGGCACATTGGGCCGCTGCCTGCGCCCTGGCCTCAGAGAAGCCCCAGGGCTTTATGGGGTTTGCTGTAAGGCAGAGCCTGATGCTCTAGAAGGGCAGCGCTGAGATGCTTGCTCAGCCCTTTCCCTCAAGCTACTGCTGTTAATGGCTGTTTCACAAGCTCTCACTTCAGCTGCAGTTGTGAAAGAAAGTAGTGTATTTTGTGACTCAACTAGCAGCAAAAATAATGGAAATGACTGTGCCTTTGACTGCACATCTAGCTGCGAGTAGGTATTTGCCGGTGTCTGGGTGGGTGACAGAAAGGCACGCTACCTCCTGCGTTTGACATTCCTGGGGAAGCAGCTGCACCCACACCATCTGACAGGACCATGGAGGGGTGTAGCTTCGGCAATGTCATGATACTGCCAGGGAAACACTGCAAATTAGATGTGACTTGGCTTGTCTGGAGCTGATGCTAACAACTGCTGTACAGGTTACTTAATGGTGAGCAGCCCAGTGACAATTAGTCCCCAGGAACCACAGTAAGAGGAGCCACAGTGTAAGGCAGTGCTAGGGTAGGAAGAGGAGAGGGAGTTTGTTTTCTCCTTGGCTTGCTCTGAGTGCTGTCAGTGAAATAGATGGGGACAAGGAAAGAGATTTAATTTGTCAGCTAAAATTGTTTAATTATCTGGTATATCTGCTGACTATTACATGCAAAGAAACACAAGGGGTACTCCAGCAGTTCTCCTGGAAAGCAATCACAAGAACTACAGCTCCAGCCATAATCATTGCCTCAGTGCTCCTGTGCACGTTCAGGTTTCTTCTTAGGCAGAGGAGGAAAACAAAAATCAGATAAAATAAATGTTTGTCAAAGGAAAGGGATCCCCCATCAGTCTGCTTCACCACCTGCAGGGGTTGTGTCACCACTTGCCCGGGGTGGGAATGCAGGAGACTTGGTTGAGGCATCTTCTATGTTCCTGTGATGGAATTCAAAGCCCAGAGCTGGCTGCTTTAGGGAACTGTAGCTCCTTCTCTGTAACCACTGGAGAAATTAATGCCAGGTGTTTAATGAACTGTCAGCTGATGCTCTTCATCTAAGTGAAATTGCTGCCGTAGTTTTTGGGGATATCTGGAGTGTCACATCTGCTGCCGTCCCTAGAGAGTACGGGACAAAAGAAACTCACTGAGAGGGTTGGTCCAGCATTTTGAGCAGCGCCTAGGGACCGCTGACCCGAGGGGGCCAGGATATGGCACCATTGTAGGCAGTCTGGTAAGAGCTGTTGATACGGAGCAGGAGAAAGTAAGGAAGGAATTTAAAAGTACAACTTAAGTGCAATATGGGCAAGGAAAAACAAGAATTATGGTGACACATTATTAAAGCATGGATCCACTGAGCAGGGAGAGAAAACTGAGAGCGGTCGATGCCAGGGAGAGGGGGACCATCTTAGGTTCAAGCCTGTGTTCCCTGGAAGGAACCTCATTGCTTTAATACTAAAAGAAGGAGGAAAAAGAAATAATAATTAGAAAATATATAGTAGGGCTGATATTTGTATTGTTTAGGCTGACTAGTCAAACGGAGCAAAACCGGCTTCTTTTTCTATGGTGCCAATGGCATCTTGGGCAGAACAACACACTGTCAAATCCATGGGCGTGTGTGGCGCTGGGTGGGAGAGCAGCAATGATAGCGTGCAGCAGGAGAGGGACACCGCCTTGCTTACACATGTCACAGAAGCTCTGATACTTTGTCTTCATGGCAGAAATTTAGATGAGCGAGAGGCAGAAAGTTGTCCTCCCCGCTCAGCTGGGAGGTGACTACTTGCTGAGACAGCAAAGCCAGGGGTCACCCATGCTGGTGACAGCACGATGTGGGGGCCTGATAGGGTGGCACAGCACATGGAGGTGTAGCATGGCACCCTGCAGTGCCCCATGCACAGCCTGGCAGGCAAGCAGTAACCACGCTCTGCTTTTGTCACTCAGAGCAGAGACAAGCTGCCCTTCTGGGAGAACGGGACGGGGAAGAAGGAGGCCTGGCAGAACGGCTGGCATGGCTATGACAACGAGCTCATGGACATGAGAGGCTTCTTCCTCGCATACGGGCCAGGTACAATGCCATCATCCCTAGTGTTCTGCTCCCCCTGCAGCCCCATGGCCCCTGCCCCAGCATCCCTTCAGCCTCTGGCATGTCAGGACCCCCATGTGACACTATGCGACACCTAAAAACTACAAATAGATGGCAGGATTTCCTCACTACAGCTGGATGCTGGGAAGTTCTCCAGCTCTATAACTGTTTTATAGCTGGAGAAACAGGGCAGAGAGATGTGAAGGAATTTGATCAGCCCCCTTCCAACGTCCCTACCCCTTGTCCCTATTTTCCTAGATTTTTAATCCTATTTGAAACACATGAATTCTGCTTTTGTTGGAGGATTTGGACTCACTAACGCAGAGCACTTTCCTTGTGAAGGCTGCAGCATACCTCACCCGTCTGTCTTATGGGCAGACACGAAACTCCTGGTTTCCACTTTGTCAGGCCCTTTAAACACTGCTGAGCACCAGGCTGCAACTGCAGACAGGAGCGAAAGCAAAGCAGAATGCGCAACACAATTATTTCAGGCTATTAAATCTACCAAGCATACACAGTAAAGTAGCTCCTGTACTTAATATTTTTAAAGTTTTTAGAGTAAAATTGGACTAGAAGTAAAAATAATGAATAAAAATGTTTAAAATGTTTTTGCTGAGCTAGGTTGTAAATTGTACGATGTGCCACATCCCAGCCTGTTGGGTAAGTCCTGGGGGAGGCAGGGGAGCAGCCCTTGCCCCACAGCGCCCCACGTTTCAGGAGCTGAGCCCCAAGCCGTATGACGCCAACTCCACTCTTTGCCTGTTTTTCCTTCAGATTTCCGATCCAACTTCCGAGCGCCTCCCATCAGATCTGTGGATGTTTACAACATCATGTGCAGCCTGGCAGGAATACAGCCACTGCCCAACAATGGCTCCTGGTCCAGGGTGGAGTGCATGCTCCGAAATGCAGCCCCCTTGGCACCGCTCCCCCTGTGTGGCAGCTGCGCCCTGGCGCTAGCTCTGCTCTCCTTGTTCGCTGAGCAAATCTCCTTGCTGTGATCCCTGAACAATGTCGGTCAGTGTCACCAGCAACTCCATCCCTCTCTTTTTTTTAAAAAAAAAGTTCTTCATTTGAATAATAGCTTCATTAATAGAGTGCTGTCCCCCACTCCTCCGTCATGCTCCACCAGGCATGAATCTGACCCATCCTACGTTTGCAGCAGTTCTAACATGAAGCCAGGTTTTGTGCTGCTCCAAACACAGCCAGGAAAGTCAGTGTCACTACTCTAGATTTACAGTACTGGCAATGAAAGCAGAATCCTGGCCAGCTATCCACAAAATTTTCTGGTGGGTGCACATGGAGATCTCTGAGCATCAAATGCATCTTACCCCAGCATCTTTAAATGAGAGGCTCACCTTGACTTCCGGTACTGAGAAGCTCAGGGTTGGAGATGGACCTCTGTGCATGTCACTGGGTTCTTTCTGATTCACTCCAGCTCCATCACCAGCAGAGCTCCCTCTTCTCCTTACGGTGACAGCCAAGCCCCATCTACACTGACCCATTCTTCAAAGAGCCAAGCACTTTGCTGAGTGATGATAAAGCTGAGAGAGGTGGATTGGCAGGAGAGCAGTGAGAGCACCCTACTTCTCTTAGCCTTTCCTTCTTCATTTTCTCCAAAATGAGCCCTGGCCTTGCACTTCTCTAGGGCCAGGCTTTCCTCATGGACCACAGCAGGAGGGTGGGGGAGGGCTGGGAAAAGGGAGAGCAGTAGAAATCCTCCACTTCAAAAACAGGAGGAAAGTGAAGAGGCATCTGGACACACAGTGGTCAGGAGAAAGTAGGGTGGGGAAACCTGGCATTTATCTGCCTCTCTGCTTTTCCTGGTGAAGATAGTATCTCATCTGCTCAGGTTTTGGGTTTTTGTACCAAACTGCATTTCTGAAGGTTTTACAACACTTGCTGCTTTTCTACCAGCTCTTGCTCTCTACTCCTCTGCCAGGTGAGCGGCACATTCCCCTTCATTCTGCAGCAGGGAGAGAGGTCTACATTGATGGATCTCCCATGCTCTCAGTTAATCCTAGCTAATATTTCCACCATGGGCTATCAACCCAAACAAAGTTGTAAGGCAAAGTTAAATAGCAGGAGGGGATAGAGCTGTTGTCGGAGGTGCCTTCGGGAGTGCCCAGTGCTTTTTTCTGATATACCTCTGAGCCAGGAGCTTTCAGTGACAAACTGCCTTTGGAAGGATTTAGGTCCCTCCCCATGCAAAATAAACCTCTAAGACTTACTATTCCTATGGATAAAGAGTCAAGCACAATGTGGGTATGTGTGGTACAGTACGTTTAAGGGTGAATGATTACACCGTGGAAGAAAAAAACAACAGCAAACAAACACCAAATTAAACTTGACAAAAGAGTTCTGTAATAGCTGTAAAGATTTATGTAATGTGTTTTTGAAGCTCAAGTGAACCATCAAATCAATGGGGAAAAAAAGGGGAGAAAATCAGTCTTTGTTATGAGACTGTTGAGTATAAAAGGCAATTTAGTGCTTTCGAAGCATTTGCAGTAGCTGTAAAACAAGCACCTATTGTTCAGAGTTCCCTGTTGCTCTTTAATGGACCAGGCTCAACGAATTCACTGTAGCACATTTTTAAAATAAAAAAAATTATCAGTATACAAAAGATGACCAAATGACTAAATTACCAAGTTTTGTTTGAAAATCAACAGGATAGATACAGTCAGTGCCCTGCTAATCCCGCCACAGCCTGCCATTTGAACTCTTACAGTGAACAGAACCCAAGGTTCTCTCACAGAAGAAAAGATCCTAAGAGTATAAGGGTATATTCAGATTCTCAATTATACAAGCAGAAATTGGAAATAACAAATCACGTCCATTGGGTTGCTCAAGGGATGGGCCGTGACACGTGAAACCGACATTGATCCTTGTGAATACTTTGTGCAACTCGTTTTTGTCAGTGGCCACATGCAAATACTGCAGAGTAAATCTCCTAATTGAGTCGTTTGATTTTAATGCAAGCATTGTGTGTGTGGCAACACACCTCAAAAGATACTTACCCTGTGAAAGGGAAATTTGACCTACAAGAAGCTCATTAGCTTCAGAAGAACTACAGCTGATTATTTTTTGAGAAGTGTATCTTTCTTCCTCAGAAATGTTGTACCTCTGAATCAGTTCACATTCTCATTCAAAAATCAAGTGTCTTGACTCTTACCTATTTTTCTGTCTACTATGCAATGGAGGTGGGTGTATTTTAAAACCTATTTCTGAATGATGTTTTTATACAATGACTGATTGTGAATGAGTGAATAATTCTAAGAATGGTGTTAGAAAAAAATATGCTTTTTTTTTTTGTAAATACTGTAAGATTTTGGAAAAAAAAAAAAAAAAGACCCACCCCTGTAACACCTCGCCTTTCTTGTTTGATTGCTGCATCAAAGTGTGATAAACAGTGTTTGAAGCTTGTGCTGATTAATCATCAGAAAGATGAATGATAACATTGTTTAGAAATGGCAAAATTGTCAGCATGTAAATTAGGGACATTAAATACATCACACAATATACTGTAGTTTGTATCTGCAGTCCTTTTTTCCAGATGTATTTCAGTATTTAACCTTTTGAACATCCATCCAGGGACACATAATTCAGACTAGCAAATGGATATGACAAACCATTTTGCTCTCCTAAGAGGAGAGGTGAACCCTGGATGCGCTCTCCAGGCCCACCATGTTACCATCGCATCAGCTGCTTGCACAGAACTCGGATGCATTGTTACTGGGACCAGGGTTCAGTTGGTTCGGGCTTCCCAGAGCCCTCATGGTACACCCCACTTCCCAACACAGGATGGTGCAAATGGCAACAAGGTGTCAAAAACCAACACCAAGGGCCTCAAGGACAATGGGCCCTACTCCCACTTTAAGCTCTACAAACCCAACGACAATGTTTATGAAGGAGACTGATTGAATAGAAGTAAGTCTCCAAACCTACTCAGTGGAATTCATCTTGTTTTCCTTCATTAACGGACCACAGAGGCAGGGAGTGGATGATGGAGGAGAAGCAGCACAGGTGTATCAATGAGTCCTTTAATTCACAGCAGGACTCCCTTTGAACTGGCAGCACCACCAAGGTCTGCCCAGAGATGCTCCCCTCGTGTCCCGTGAACATTGGTCCCACAAACAGGAGGGTGCTGAGGGATGCCTGCATGGGGACAGCATGGGAATCAGTCCCAGTCAGCTCCCCATAGCAGTGCCAAAATGGCAATTAATGAGCTTGGCGGCCGTGTAAATGGCATGGCTGGCCAGGGCTTGGCAGATGAGCCTTCCAGCATCCCTTGGGATGCAGCCTGCCACTGCCCACACAGACTGTAGCTTCACGGAGACACTTTCCCATCAGCCCGGCCACTGGCCAGAGCCCTCCCCAAGTACCGGGACTCCGCAACTAAGGGGTGAATTAAAGGATTTTGTGGTGCTGGCCACCTTCCGTGTCTCCTAACTGCTCAGCAGAAGCCAAACCATCCGTCAGACGTTAAAGTCCACACCTCAGGGGGAGATGCAGAGTGAACGAGCTCTGGGCACTGTGAAGTGAAAGGCTTTGGGAAAGCTCCCTGTCGCAGTTCCCCTCCTCCTTTGCCCTAGAAGGAAAAAGACAGGGCAGGCAGCTGCAAATCCAACAGGAACTTTTTAAGAAAACATGGCCTAATGAAGGGAAGAGTTGGAAACCTTCCATTTTAGCATAAGTCTTTGATACCTGTTTTGAAAGACAACTTTCACCTACATGGAAAAACGTGTGCAGGTACTGAAACACGTTTATGTTAAGGGAAGGTTATTGCAGAGCGCCCAAAACCAAGAACATTTCAGAATTACAGTTGACTGGACACTAATTCTCAAGCTTCATACACATGTTGACAGCTGTAGAGATTATTCTGATGAAATCTGAACGGCACAGAAGCTGCTATGGGCTGGAAGACGGGTACAGCGTTATCCCAAACCTGGCAAGGCTGTACCCGGGGGCGGAGATCCCCCCGTCCGCTGCTTTAAGGGCCTTGTTCGCACCTGTTTTCGCGCCGACAGCCAGCAAGGCGCCGGCTGCAAAGGGTGCAGCCTCCCAAACCGCGGCCGGGTTCGCCGGGGCCGGAGGGAGGAGACCCCGTTAGGGGGGAGAGGACACCCCCTCCCCGCCCCTGCGCCCCAGGGATCCCAGCGTGCCCGGCCAGGCAGCGCCCCCTGCCGGCCGACTGGCGTCAGCCGCGGGGCGCCCCCCCTGTGGGGCGGTGTGGGGGGACACAGGGACCTTCCCGCAAAAAAATGGGGCGATTTAAGTAGGCAGGGCTGGAAGAAATCGGGGAATTTTAGGCAGGAAGGTTGTAGCGAGTAAAGTTAGAATCAGGTGTTTTCGTTCTGTGTTTCTCGTTGCAGCTTTTTCTCTTTCTCCCCTTTAATTCTCTTTCTGTTACCCCTTACTGTATGGCTGATTCCCCTCCCGCACCACCGAGGTCCCCGCACAAACCTGCTGCCCCAATGCGGTTTCCTGAGCGAGCCTCCTGCCTGCTTCTGTCCTACTTTCAATAGAGAGGTGAGTGGCCTCGGAGAGCCGTGGGTGTTTACATGGCCCTTAGTGAGCCTTGACAGCAGTCAGCTGGATATACTTCCAAATACAAGGACTTGGGCTGCATCCAGAGCTGCTTTTGTTGTTATTAAAGCCTGATCCCACTAGTGGAAAACAAAACAGGTCAGGGATGAGCAAAGCAGCAGCAGCAACCTGCCCCATTACTCCTTCTCACTCGCAGCTTCGCTCTAGGTTAAACATGGCACCCTCCGGTTAGGCAGTCCCACAGCACTGCTCAGGAGGACTCCGAGCCGTCATCAGCTCAGGGGGACTCTGATTAAAGCATTAAAAGACAGCAAGGAAACAGTAAGGAGGGCTGAGGAGAGTGGGCTGAGGTGGGGGAGATGTGGTGCCCACCTCCTGCACCAGCACAGAACAGGGCTTAGCTGAGCTCCAGGGAGCTCATTTCTTTCTCCCTTGGTCACAGCAAATGAGGCAT